ATATAGTAAAATGGATCTGTTTGTATGTCGAAGGGCGACGTTTGCGTAGCAAGTCAACTAACAGCTCACGACCACACTACGCTCAACTTACACTGGGCATGGAGAAGGACCATTCCAGCGATGAGGATTACAAACCTGATGATGAAGATATCGATGTCGACATTCAGAGCCCAGAACGGGGTAAGCTGTGCAAGTTGACCTTAAATTATTGCTACTTATCATAATTATATGTATATATATATGTCACATACTAACAGGTGTGAAGTGTGGAGAGAATACTGGATTTAAGGATGAAGATGTATCTGGAGAGGAGAACAAACTGGTAGAAGTGAACAAAAAGGAGGAAGAGGAAAATAAGGGTGCGCTCATTGGATCTATTCTGTCGTCAATGGTAATGATATATCGGTCGTCAGTGGTAATGATATATCTAAATATTGTCATATAAAATGTATTGTACGCATCTTTGCAGGTAGCAACCCAATAAAAGCCAAAGGTACAAAACGGTCACGTGCCTCCCATGATAATGCAGCTTCCGCTCCATCTATTGCGGAATGTGTCGGACAAGCAGAAAGTATTGGCAGTAGCGAGGGCGATCGTGATGGATACACGCCACGAAAACGGAGTAGCAATCATCTTGCTGAGCTTGCGTCTATGTCGGAGCAGGGCCAGACGATTGAAAACGTCGTTGCTCCCTTTCCAAAAGTGACAATCAAGACATGGGGTGAATTCGATACTTTACTAGCGTCCTACACAAAGGCAAACAACCTGCACTTTCGAGTTCGCAGTTCCGAGTCGGCTGAAACGTATAACCGGTATGTATTATTTTTAATGAGCCTCTTATCGACGAAGAATATCGTGGTGAAGTTGTTGAGGTATGGCAAGGAACTACGATGAATGACGAGCGGAAAGAAGGCCTTGTCGACTTTGTGGGGCGGTGGCATGCCTACTCTGCATTGGGATATAAACTAACGATAGAACCGGAATTGTGGATTGAAACACCACAACAGCCTGACCACGTAAGCTGCAGAGTACTAGTTGTTGCCCAAGCGTATAGCTACCTAACGGGGAGTATGCAGCTTCAGCAGAACCAAGTATCCAAAGAAGACGTCAGTATAATGAGCCTAAAAATGCTGTGGATGATGATATGTCATTCCCACGAACGCTCGTCATCCGAGTACGAACTCAATAAGGCGAACCATGTCCAGCAGCAGTTACAGGATCAACTCGGATAAAGTAGGCCAAGCTGATAACACTTCAACACGATTTTGGCAGGTCTTGATATCTTCTTATCATTATTCAGCTTGTTCATTACAAGCTCCAACAGCACTCTTGATACCTACTTATCATTACTCAGCTTGTTCCCCAGGAGCTCCAGCAACATTCCAAACGATAGCGTCTCCATGCGAGATAGGGTCACGTTTTCATCTTTAACAGTCTCAGATAATTCGTACCCCTCTCTTCGATAAGGGCTTGGACCTCTAGTTGAGCCTTCATGATCATCTCCAGACCCGTGCTGATTTGCTCCAACTTCTCCTTCAATGCCGCAAGCTCCTCAAGACGTGCGCTTACCAACTGCCGCGCCAGTGCTGCCTCCTTCATAGCAATTCTGCGCTAGATGTCAGAAAGAAATGGAGCTCATGCGAACTTAGCTCATATATCTAAATTTAGACGATTGAACGGATAGTTGTCATTTTGTGGTCCACAGGTAACTGACGACATGTAATTTATAATAAATTTCGTTTTGCTAAGGTTGCTTTTGGTTTGGCCAGGTTGCTGGAAGTGTTGCTTTAGTGACAAGGTTGCTATATATTTCGTCGTCAGATTGTAAATGGGGAAACTTATGGTTGCGGTAACGCCATTCTGTTTCTTCAGCTAATCGAGGACGAGAACGCCGCAGGTTTTCGCGTCGTGGCGCCCGACACCAAGCTTACATTGCCTCCACGCCCCTACCCGGCGCGCGAGACATTTCTGACCAAGTGGAGCCAGCAGAAGCTCGTGGTGGCCGACGCTGTGACTGACAAGTTGCTGCAGGTGGCGCGTTTGGCCACAGTATCGCTGCATCGCGACGAGCGGTCGATACTATGGGGCGTCACGGCCCCATTCGTACCGGCCGAAAGTCGAACGGTGGGTGCCGCGCCCCTGGACAGCTATGCGGACGTTCCTCAGGCTGTCAAGAAGACGCACGTGCTCACAGCCGCTGCCAGTAGCAAGGATGCGGTGTCTCTGGCAGCGGCTGTGGCTTCCCCGAGTGTAATTGCTGAGGTGAACGCCCCGCAGGGACTTACGCTTCGACCTAAACGGGGTGCTGAGCCGCCCACGAGGCTCTGCTACTGCTTCCACTTCCGCACTGACTTTGAGTACGAGCTGTTCGCACGCACACTGGAGGCCTTTACACGCATGCAACGATATGCATTGCTGCAAAGCTCAGTAGTGATGGAGATGGAGATCTCGCAGGAACACAAGAAGCGGAAGCTGGACGAGGGCATTCGCCTGCAGGCCACGGCTGACAAAACCAAGAAGCGCGAGGAGCAAATGGCGCTGATCAAAGCCAAGAAGCAGGCCAAGAAACGGGACAAAGAGCAGGACAAGACACTCGTACAAGCAGAGACAAAGAAAAAAACCAAAACCAAGGGCAAAGCGAAGGTGAAGGCTGCTACGCCCCCGAGCAAGATGATCTGTGTCCTGTGTCGCATGCAGAGGAAGCCTGATGCGCCAGAATATCCGAAACATCCTTTCGTGCTGAAGGTTCGTGTCATCGAACTAAGTTCGAGAATTCCTGCGGTGATGCTAACGATAACCCTCTGACGTTGCTGCTTGAACAGGACGGCAAGGGAGAAGTTGTTCATATCTGCAAGGTATGCTTGCAGCGGGTGCTGCAGCAGCGCGTGCAGAATCCCCCAGTCGTGAAGAAGGGCGACCCAGATAATTATTGCGGACTGTGTGCCCAGTCGGCGGAAAACTTGCCAGTCAAGTCCATCAAGGCGTGCACACACGAAATCTGCACGCGGGTGTATTGTTTGCCCTGTATCGACAAACTGATTGGCAGAGCGCAGTCTCACAAGGTGTGGCGGACCAACAACTGGTTGTGTCCGAACTGCTCAACAGATAATGATGATGCTTCTCCTGGAGAGGAAGCGAGGGGAGCTGAAGCCGTTTCAGCTACAGCGTCCAAGCAGAAGAAGCGAAGGCGACGCAATGAGATTGATGATAGTACAACCGCAGACGAAGATGAGCCAGAACTTGGGAAGCCAATCGGTTCGCCATCCGACATGCAGCCTATTGACTATGCGGTGACATATTTCAAGTTCTTACTGGAACGTGAGACAACAGTCGAGTTCGCGGAATCGGAAGATGTATGCTTCTGCTGCAAGGATGGTGGCAATGTGATCGAGTGTGATTGGAAGGGCTTGAATGGGGCCTTTGCGCGTTGCCCAAAGGTTTACCATGAAGGTACATACATGTATAAGAGAGCTCTGATCTATTGGTCAGCGTGAAGTAGAGACTGGCTGACTGTGACGAAATGTGATGCGATTGTAGACTGCTTGGGCTACGAAGTTCCAGAGGGAAAGACGTGGGTTTGCCCGCGCCATCGCTGCCAGGACTGCGGTATCATAGCGCATCACTCTTGTCGCTTTTGCGTCACTTCCTATTGCCAGGTAGGCTCTGCTTGTTGTTTCCTGTAGGTGTGAGGCAATGCTGACCTGTGTTGTGCGTATGTGGCGATCTACGTAGGATCACTTACCGAAAGAGGTAAAGAGGCTCGGTCGCGCAACAAAAGACATTCCTACGTCGACCTACGTTATGTGCCCCAGATGCACCCAACAGGCCCAGGACGCCTTGAAGGACAAGAAGATTGGATCAGATATCCATTCCAAGCTCTTGCGACGACGGCGTTGATTTTTCAGTATTACTTAGGAATCCGAGAGCAAGGTTTGCAAGAGCTCTATCTGAAACAGAAGCTCAGCTCTTACACCTTGGACCCCGTGTACAGCGGGTGCAGGAAATGAGCGTCCCCCTGTCATTCAAAAGCTCAATCACTCATAGCGAACGGTGTAATGGTGGTTTCGATTTAAAAATTACACCATCCTCTGCGCAATTGCTTACTAGCCCGGCTATCTAATCTAATACATGTACTGCAGTACCTCTTTTGTCAGCGAAATACCAAATGTGGATTCCTTGCCCCCCAAATGACACCCGTCTCTTTGGGCAGATTTTGACCAATTAAGGGTGACACCCCTCCGGGAGATGTGCAAAAACGGGAGCATGTGTCTCTCGGCCCGAGAGAAACATGCTCCCGTTTTTCACCCGAGACTCGGGTGTATGCATACGACACAAAAGTGCATGGCAATCCCGCGTACGACGTATTATGTGTCGACCATCGTAAAGCTTGACCCTCAATAGTAACGCGCCACGCGTGGAATGAGCCACTACACCAGCAACAGATTCACCCTGAATCAAGTTATGGGTCTTCGGATCTGTGTACTGCCGTTGCATTGCACAGCTTGAAGAAAGGTCACGTTATCGAATGAATATGTAACAATAGGATCCATGAAAATCGCCGTATCAGGAAAGTGCATGACAGGAGTTGCTTCGTGGTAAGTACTTGGCGAGGCAATGCAAGGAACGGATATTACATGGAGGGTACCCTCCATGCAAATTGGCATGTTCGCCAAATCATCTGTCTTGAACTTAATATTGCTCGGTACGTCGTAAACGACCGACATAAGATATTATCAGAAATCATAGCAGCAACTCGTCTTGCCATGCACTTTCATGTCGTATGCTTACATCCAAGGATTGGTAGTAGAATGGTTTTCCTTGAAAGTAATACAGTAGTATAATATATGCGAATATACTCTCATTTTCATGAACAATTCTAATAAAAAAAGTAGTAGTAATATTTCAAAGTACTACTCATAGTAGTAAAAGGTGGTACATGTAATACATTCGATTGGAGATAAAGGACACGTATGTGCATTCAATTCTGAGAAGCAGTGATCACTATCGTTAGCATGTCGCTCAGCCAGGGCAGTCGCACTGTAGACACCGTGGCTGCGTAACCGGCGAGTATCACGGCCGCAGACAACGCAACGGTCGGTCGTCGTCAACTCACACTTAATGAGGTCGTCGACGAGCTTATTGTTCAGTGGGGACTGGAAATTGGAAGTGAGCTCGCAACGAAGCAAAGCACGCTGCTACACTCAAATCCTAGATTGTAGTCCAATAGAAGTCACATATGAAAATTTTGTCCAATCGTGAGCAAATAGACGAATATTAGTATTATATTCGGCTTCTTCTCAAACTAATACAGCTTTTAATAGTATTACAAACTTATTCAAGAGGTATTAGTGCTTGAGCCATTACTCAAGTGATATATAATATCAATCCCCCCTACCGCAATTATCACTGATAATTTATCAGAGAGACCGTTTTTTGCACATCTCCCCGGAGGAGGGGTCAGCCCTTAGTTGGTGAAAATCTTGCCCAAAGAGGACGGGTGTCACTTTCGGGGGGCGATGACATTTCCGCTGAGTAACGAAATTAGA